GGTCAGGCAGAGTATAGGGTAGAAATACAAACTGATGCTCTCTGTTTTTCGGTTACTTCGCCTTGATGCAGCCTAAAATAGATGTACGCGAATAATATACTTGTAGAAGTGGGTTGAATAAACTAAAAGTCCTATGGACAACACAGAAATTAAATCCATCACGTGTCAGTAAATACACTTCTATATACGGTACAGGCGTTAGGTTGCGTATGTCTGCCAGGCACACTCTCCTGTCAGGTAACAACTGACCTAATCATTGATCAGCTGGCTCGAAATTAAACCATAATTTTTGGCGTAAAATCGGCGCGTCTACCGCGACAGCAGGCCTTTGAAAGCAAATTCAGCTCGGTTTTCGAGATCCCACTGCTGTTGCAGAATTCAGACCCACCACCATTAGTATCGAAGCATGAAAACAGTTTTTAGCAGGATGTCGGACGGGATAAATGTCCGTTTCGCGGAGTTCATAATTAATGGTCGCCGTGTTGAATGGCTTATACACGTCCAATGGTAATATTATCAAAGCTCATCATCATAGGCCTGATCAGGTCTACTATTATGCAGAATCTTTTGCATCAGCGCACAAATAGGCACATTCATAGGTTTACAGTATGGCGAGTGGCTTAGATAATAATGCGCATCCACGTGTATACACTTTAGGAAGGGCTAAATAATGATGGCTGTGAAACAAGATACGGTAGCTATTTATAATCAGTACTAATACAAACCTGTGTTGACCTCAGAAAAGCGCGGGCTAGGTGGCCTGAGGTTACGTTCAAGTCACTTGGGGTAGCATGTACCCCACGTTAATGGACTTTCGGGTCGGCTAAGTTGGTGAGACATCATCTGTTTTAGTCATAAATTTCGCCGTATCCTCACGAGTAAAGCAGAATTTCGTTTGTTATCTATCCCAGTTGGAGAATTCCGCCTTTCGCGGTGTTGATTGGATTTCGCATCTTTCAATGATAATGGTGGTAAACTCTCATAACCAGTGTTATTATAAAAAAACAATATTTCATTGATCGGGTTCAACTGTCGTATGGGTTGAGTGCAGCTAACATCACATAGGTGTTTCTCTACAAATTTCAAATGCAAAAAGTATTTAAGCGTGGCGCGTGAACATCAGATGGGAATATACGTCAAGTTTATATAGAATGATAGTGTTACGTAAAAGGCGGCTGGATGAGGTAGGTTAAAGAGGAAAATATTATAGATCAATTTATCGAAACGATATTATTTCCAACAGACAGAGAGTGCATTTTATATGCCGAACGTTAAGAGACCGTTCATCCATAACAGAAACTAGGATAGCTCAGTTTGATTTTATAATACATTTAACAAAGCGTACTTTACTTAAATATACCCAATTGATTAATATTGGGTCTGTGAGCTCACAACTCAGCTAGTTTATCTTTAGTGGCGCGGAACTTCAATTACAGGCTTTCGATTTCGGAGCCGAAAATTTAACCTTCAGAGTCATCGCGGCACTCCAATAAAGAACGGTAAATGGCGAACGTTTCAGTGACTAAGCAGAGCCCAAGTTGTTTTTATACGTAGACTAATAAGAAGCCCCTTTAGAATTTAAATCCGTCGGATATAAATAGAACATCAAGAGCGTGTACCATATGCGCCAATATATCTAGGCAAAGGCAATAACTGGGCTAGCAACAGTAGCAACAGCGCCCCATTACCCCAACTTCAGTTCCGCCTAACCGAAAGAAGAAACGGGAAATGCTGAAAGGTTCGACTTTTCTCCATCTGATCTGTCTCTAATATCAGCAAGCACGCACAGCTGCGCTCCAGGTGGTTGTTCTCTTGAATAACCACTACGTAGATAATCCGGCGTTGTCCTGAAATTTGCTGATTCTCTAGTTAAAGCAGAGAGTAAATCGCAGACGAAATGGCTTACAAGAAGAAAAAGAGCAAAAATAACGCTTGTGATGGAAGATTCTGCCTAGATATGAAGTGACCGTTCATTATTATCGTAGCAGTAAAACCTGTGTAACCCAACTAACTATCTCGTCTTAGAACCAAGAGCATAAATTTAAGTTTTTTAAACCTCGAGACTCTAACCCGCATTTCTCGTGACCGGCTGGAGGTCCTTTATTTTAAATGTCAGTGCCTACGCAGGGCAACTTAGCGAAGCACATTTCCCTTGTTTTTTTTACTGCATCTGTGCTGCAATGGACGTCATCGACCACTTTAGGTTAGGTTAGGTGTTCTGAGTTTTAAATACGCCACTTGAGCCGTTCAGCATTGCTTCGTGTGGTTTGCTTTTAGCACGACACCTATTGTATCTACGTCCGAATTTAAATCTGGTCGAAAACATGCTTTCAGGTTAGGCAACCACGTTACCACTGCACTATTACGAAGATACCTCGAGCTAAGTTGGCTGGGTAGAGATTATGTGTAGCTAACAGGCGTACATTGACTGACTGCAGAGCGTTCTAAGCTAGTTTCCGTTCAACTATTGATGCCGCTACTAGTCTTTTCTGCTATTTGACAAGGGTGACCGTCAAATGTTGGATATGTTGTTATCAGCTGAGTTGACGTTGTACAAGCAACAGCAGTAGCAGCAACAGCAGCAAAAAGAAGGGAGGGTAAGTTAAAAAACTACCGATAGTGTGAAGCTTTAGCTGAATCTTGGTCATCGCTTTATCGTACCATGATTGAGTCTGCGTTCTTCTTTCTTTGCTTGGTCGAACAACAGGCTCAGAAGGGCAACGTAAATCAATGCACACTTCAAATTACCGAATCCCCTCTCTGTGTGTCTCTTTATGTCTGCCTTTGCAGTTCATACAAATCGTATTTCCACTACCAGCAGGCCGGTCGTCTTCGAAGAAATATACCCATACAAGCAAGTTTTCCCAACTTGTTGGCCTCTTCTGCTTTGTTCCTGGATCAAATAGAATTTCCTTTCCAAGCTCACTGGCCAAAAGCCATCATCGGGATTAAGATATCGAGGGTGAACACTATTACTTGTGTCAAACCTCAGGGAACTCAGATGCAAGGCCGTTACCAAGACGCGCACACAGCCAGCTGTCGTTGCGCTGGAGCATACGGCCAATTTGAAGCTGAATAGATGAAGATCAACACTAATAAAGCATAATCGCCATATTCTGAGTTCTTCTTCTTCACCCCATAATATTTCTGTTTGCAAGCACGCAGAAAAGGTCCAACTCTGGCTGCCACCTGACGTTCTTTTGTAAGAAGTGAGCGCGCATGGCTAATCGCTATGATTGTAGTCCTCCGTAAACTTTTCCGCAATTTACACCAGAATGATTTGGAAGGTCAGCGTTTTTCATGACAAAAATATTACGCTTGTAAGTGTGTGCGTGCGCGTGGCTTAGAAAGCGTAAATGGCGACAATATCTGGCTAGGCGACATCGTCGACCGCGATCATCTTTATGGAACCACTGGTGGCAGTATACTTGTACCACATTGTTCAAAAATTACTGCACGAACTCATTCGTCGCTTTCGTTAACGCCGGACATTTTCTGCACCCACTTATTTGTGGGTAGGATCTTTTAGGCAAAACTCCATAGGTCCAAACGCTGTTGTTCAGATGAACCTTGCATGACAGCATCGCGGCAGGTCTACTCGGAGATAAAGAGGGGACACTGAAAGGCTCTTTATATAACACGCCATCGCAACTCGCAAGCAACAACGATGGAACCAAACTGACATAAAGACAAGCATTTAGATATTACTGATGCAGCTAACCCTGTTTCCATTGCACCTAAAGGGCCAGATATGGCCAAAAATAGCGCCATAGTATTTGGGGAGGCACATCGGACTATGACGGAGCACAAGGTCTTGTTCAAGCAGCCCTGGGGAATGCATCCATGCCCCTGCCTGAGATGAACAAATGAAACCCACATGAACGGGCGGTAGCGTGACAAGCTCAACTGTCGGCGAAGGTAGATCGCCCCAGAACTTAGAGTCGTATATGGCCAGGTATTTTCGAACGTCCGAGCTGCGGTTGCTTACAGACATACATATACCAGTTTTTGGTCCCCCCGCACCCCGCTGTACATCTTACTTGGCCACAGAATATCATGTCACTTTTTTCCACTTATGTAGTACTAATAAAGCATTCAAGTAGCATGGGCTGTTAGCACCGCCTATTGTGCCATGTTCGCCTGATACGCCTTGAATCAGTACAAAGTATTTTAATCTGTTATAATCTATTCTTATAAGAGGTCTTAAGCAAGCACGAGTATCTGAGCGACGTGGCTCGACTTGGTTAATATATCTCGAATAGAGAAACTTTCCTATGATTGCACGATTACGCAAGAGAAAAAATAGTACATGTTTACTTCTTTGAGGTTTCGTGATTTTTTTGGCAGTAGATTGAAAATGCGATGTTTTTCTAGATCTGATCTTTTCAATTCCTGAAATTTAATTATATTTAAATAGATGTACGTGTGAATTAAGATCTAATTAGAGTTATATTTAACGAACATTTTTGTTAGGTAACGAAAAAAATAAAATGGTACAAATAAATCTACTAATATTTATGAGACATGGTAAAAGTGTACCGTATCTACATACATACCTGCGTATCCAACATATTTTCACTGAAAATGTTAGTATTTTTTTGATTATTGGTATCATATTTATGATGTCAAATACTTTCCCAGATCAGATTTTTCCTAAAAAGTAATAAAAATATTTTTTTTATTATTATAAAAAAAAATTATTTTCTACTAAATGAATTTATTTAATCACAAATGAAATGTTAAGGTTAAAAACAAAGCAATTCAATTAGTGGTAGTAATTCAGTTGACAATTAGGAAAAAATAAATAATAGATTTGAGGTAGGAAACAATCTACGGAAAGAAGTAATTTACTTAAATAAAAATAGGGGAAAATATTACTCTCCATGTTTTAAATACAAAATATTAGTCGTAAACTGTATAAAACAGCTGCTACAATACTAGAGAAAAATTATTATAACCGTTAGAAACTGGAACACGATATGTAAAACAGTTTTACTTACTAATTACTGATTCCTTGTTCACAAGATCGTTTGTTCGATCAGTACCGCATCACCGCTAATGGGTCAGTAGTTTGTTTGTATCGCTGGCTTTACCGACAAGTAACAAGCGGCCATCTCATAGATGATAGTTGGTATCAATCGTAAGCGATCTTACAACGATGACTGTTCTTTTGTTTTTGTTTTATGTCGTCTGCTATAGACGTAAAAATTAGATCATTCGACGGTTCTATACGTTCTACTGCTCACATTCTGCGTGCCTGATTAGGTAAACAAAGCTAGCCGCTTAATTCTCACCAACTAGGTTGCCTTTAAGTTTGTCGAGGAGGACAGACGAACCAATGGCCTTAAAGGTCAGCTTTTATGCAGTGGTTTGAAAGTTCCGTTTAGAGCTAATTAATCAATTGATATATATATATATATATATACAACGTAATAGGAGGGATAAAAGATACACTATATATACATTTGAAAGAAGCTGCTCTATTTAAATTCCGATTGTACAGAGCCGTCAAGTTAGCTTTGTATCTAACCAAGGCTATCCAGTTTGCAATTGGAATTATATTTTCAGAGCACATTCCCCTAGATATCTACCGGGAGGACACTAACATGTCGTTTAGGTTACACTGCACATCAATACTAACAGAATAAAATAGGTACAATTTAGTGATGATGTACTGATTGAATGTGCAAAGGGTTGCCGTGTACTACGGCGTATGGATAATTATATATAGTATACATATTATTCGGTATATGTCTTTCTACAGTGTAGAAGGTTGACGGCTTAGCTATAACCCTGATGTCGTAAAAGTGTCACGATCCGTCACAGTTAATACTACAACAGTTTGAATCTATGATATCCAAAAATGAATTAGTACAATATCGACTCTGTAGGTAAATTACTGTTAATATTATTCACAATATTACGCCGTAATATGAATGACTCACACGTCAGAGTAAGATAACCGAAGGGTATTTAGTTCTATTTTTACTGTACTTCGTACGTAGACCAGCAGTTGCTTGTAGGATAGACCGCTGATGGGTGGGCGTCCAAAGGCCTACGTACTCAGCTATATTGCAGTTTCTCCTATTTTCATATCCCGGCCTCTCTCTTGGATGATCGTCCAACCAATGCAACACACAGACATCATCATCATCACACACTCTGAACAACAATAAACCGTAATCTGCCAGAGCTATGTGACAGACAGACAGACAGAGCTGTATTGTCCCAACGAAAGTACTACAGTGTCTAAATTTAGCTCCGAACGCGGGTCAGGGACAGGGTAAGGCACTTTTTTACCCCGCCGTCGTAATAAAGGCTGAGCACAACAGGTTCGCGCCATCTATACATCGAACATCATACAGCCGGCCGCAATAGATTCCATTTTGTGCTATTTTAGCTATGATAGTAGCTAGATGACTTGGCTGTGGGACATCCGCTGCCTCAGGTCTATAGTGCCTAACAGGTTCTGCTGGGTGTTTTTTTTCGTGTTTCTGCGGCCTTCGGGTACCTGGTGTTATGCTGTGTTTGTTTTCATGTTCCCCTCTTGCCTTAGGCCAACAGAACTATAATATATACATGTTCAACCCAAGAGCCGAAAAGACGGCCATATTTATGGAGGCGGAGGCGTAGGTAATGTCTAGCACGTCCCGGCGGCTAGAGCCATTTGCACTGCTATTCCAAATGCTTTTCTAGCGTCCGCGTGCGTCGTGTAGATGTAGTGGTGCATCCTGAACCTATGACCGCAACCATGAGAGTACCATCCATTAGGTCGTTAGAAAAAATGTATTTTTGGCCAGGTTAATTCGCTGAAAGGTCTCCTACCTCAGACTCGCCCTCTGTTTTCTAGCAATCTAGAGATATTCGAATTTTGCTTATATTTATATAAATTAAGTTGTTTGTTTTTTAAATGATAAATAATGTTTTATATTTCGGTACATAATAATGCCTGTTTTGTTGTATTATTTGTGCTCAACAAGCGCCAAGTCGGATGTCAGCTTAAACGGACGTGAGCTGTTTAAGTCCTGTTTAAAAGTTATCGCCTGATGGAATATCTTACTCGGATATTTAGTTACTTATGCAGTGCACTGTGATACAGTAATGATTAAGTATCTTTGTATTGTACAAAAGTGTATGGTCTATTGAAACATAAAATGTCATTTTGTTTATACGGATTTATACGACCCAAGCACGTGCGCACTAGGGTACCGAATTTGTTGTGATATATATTCGGGCGTTCCAAACGGACCACTAAGATATCGCATTTGTCTTAGTCCGAAAACGCGGATTATTTGTTTCGAGTTGTGATGAAAAGTAGCAGAAAAAGCAGAAAGAGATGTGTAGTTTCCCAAAAATTTTCATTATCTATCGTACTCTGTACATTTCCGTTTGTTGGTCAGTGAGCCTTTTACCTTACATCATGTAAACGTCTAGTCAACTTTTATTACAAGATGTCTCAGCTGAGCAGTTTCGATACTGCTATACAGTTATCCTTTAAACCGAACGGGTAGAAAACATGGTCTGAAGTAGGACTCGATCTTCACTCTGTATATTAAGTATCGATAGAGCTAGGCTTGTGTATACTGTCATGAACGCCTAAAAAGTGTCATCGACGGCTAGACCTGATGATGGCATGTGAACGAGCAGGCGTCATTCGAGTATTTCGAAAGCTTGTATGCAAAAAAAACTATTTTTCGGTTTCTGCCACATTTGTATTGGAATTAGGAGAACTTCCTCTCCGGTCTATTGTGCGATTGTCGCCTAGTTTACATTTTTAATGTCGCTAATCAAACCATACGGGGTCGGAAAGACCTAGTCTTACTATTTAATGAGAGTTGGAAGGTTGAGTCCGAAAATAAAGAACACAAGCCCGATTGGATACGTGAATTGTTCCGCAAAATAGTCCCGTTGCAAAAAAAAAAAACCACTTGATTTTCTCCAAGGAACCGACAGGATTTGAAATGAGCGGGAGTTCAATTGACACCTCCCAAAAGTGTCAGCTCCGCCGCCTCCCCCCCAATACCAAGCAAACATAAATAAAATGCTAGCCTCGTACATTCATTTTGTAGCGGGTGGTAAATCTCAACGAGACCGTTAAGGATACATCTCCTGGTATATACATGTAGTATCCGAATGGAAAAATAATTCTACAAGCTTCCAATGTAAAGCGAGACTTGGTATTCTCCAAAGGGATCTTTTAGCCAAACGGAACACCGATGGGCTCAGAAGTCGAATGGGTGAATGCTATATAACAGCTTGAACATGTAGAAACACGATTCGGCTCTTACACATTTCCGTTATTATAGTTTTAACGTTGTGCGCTTATTAGCCCGTAATATTTTTACCGCATAGGAAAGGACAATGCAAAAAAATACTTTCTAATGATTTTATTTCAAAGCTGATTGTATATCCATTTTGGGCCTTTGATTCGCTCTTCTAACTTTAAAATGCCGCCGTCAATTACCAGAAGTTCGTAATATTCGGCATGCTGTTACGTGGGGTGGCCTACCTTTTACCCTTATTTGTTGCAACACGAAATGCTTCAGTAACAAACAGCTAAAGGTTGCATATACAACGATCTGGATACTGTGATAAGCGCAGCATGGCGGTACGCTTTTTGTCTGTCCCGTTGTGGGTTTGGCCCGTGGCGAAACCTTCAAAATTCAACATTGCGATCGCCGAAAGGGCTTACAGCTTTAAAACAAATATTTAGTTTCGAGGCCTCACTCATCTAGGGATGTTCCGCAGTGCTTCGAATGTCTTCACTAGGAACTACTTACTATATGCACGTTCTTTTTTAGACTGTTTTTACTATGCGCTTCCACCCAGGAGTCGAGAAATTGCCGGACGTCCAAGGCATCGCTATCTCTTCCCTGGGGCAAAAGGGATAACCATAAGGATCTTGAACTTGAAAACTTAAATGCGATCTTCCATTAAATTCAGACAGTGGAAAGAATGAATCTCTTTACTGCTGGCGATATACTGATGAACCAGATTATATTTAGTTTGCCTTTTCACGACATAATTCGTGGCTTGACATATTCATTATGCATATACTACGAGCAGGTTGAACAAGTACACCTAAGAGGGTCAAAAGACGCTTCAACCAATGACCCCTAGCAGGAACAGGGAGCTGTCAGGCGTGCTCCTGACGTCGAGGAAACAGAGAGTCGCAATGTTTGCCAAATTTTTCAATATGGACGTGTAAATGAAAGATGCCGCTGTTTAAGCTGCACTCACCTGTCATTACGTTCAGGTTTTCAATAGTATGCATGCATGTTTTGAATGGTACCTTTGAATGCATAAATCGTATAGTGGGGCTTTGGTTGATATCAGATTAAAGTAAACATGAACAGCTACCGATGGCTGGTCGTATGTCTTTTTCCTATCTAGCATATAATTTGTCTCAGTTCGTATTTATAGAATAAATCTGTTTCCGCCGAACCGACTAATCAGTTGTGATCCCCTTAAATTTATCGTTGCCGCCCAGCTTCGTAGTAGCGACTTCTTTTTGTCAACGTTCTTTTTGTTGGTCTCATCGGTCGTTGCTCAAGTGTATAAATGTCCACCTTCATTGCTGTTCGAGCAAAACATATACGCTGCCTAATCTCGTACTCTATATTTTTTCTATGCTGCCTGTTTTTGGTGGCAGCTCACCTCCACTTCTCCCAGTAACGTGATGACCCCCGGAGCGAGTTTCATTATGTAGATGAGTGGTTCTTGCATGAAGCGTGTGGCCGCATAGAAGCGGATTCGTTTCAAACGATATTTCCATGGACGCTGAATATAAGATGAGTAGCCGGAGGTAACTTGGAGTGACGTAAGCTACGGTGGCTGTTTGTCGAAGCAGCCGGTTGCAGTTGAGCTCATGGGGGCTCGAACTTCCGCACTTCTACCCGACCAATCATCCAGACAGGCTCTGTACGAAGCACAAACTCTGCAGAAGTCGATTGTTAGAAAAGCAAATAGTACACGAACTCTTTATAGATTAATTCTACCATTTCGAGCCTCGTATACAAGTAATGCTACTCCTAAATTAACTCTGTCCTAACCCAAGTGGGAAAATCTTTATTTAATATGATATATACACTACGTACATGTTTTTCTTTGCGTAGCAAAAATCTGAGCGACAGATTGAGTGTTGTTCTCAGCTACCTTTTACAGCCATGTCGTTTGAATGATGGTTCTATATTTATATTGTGCGCCGCTTCTCTTATCCATAACAATCAATAGTTGTTAGTGTAACAAGTAACAACATGTGAGCAACGATCGACCGAACGAGTAACACCTAATAAATATAAAATCCTGAGCAATGTATATCTACGCGAATCTGTTTGACATAGAAAAATGCTGACAGCTGGCTCTCAATCACCTCCTAAAAAAATGTAGTCCTAAATTTAGGGCTAAACAATAATTGTCTCTCCCCAAATCGAGTCGAATAATTTCAACTATGAACTACAACAGGTGACGCCTAGAGAAACACGACAGGTCCATTCTGTTCCACGCCTGGAAACTGGTTTGACATAGCATATGTCCTAGTAATCATCCTAGTTACCTCGCTTATAAAGTCCGTAGAAACGTTTAACTAATAAATAGCCAAGGCAGTACGAGGGAAGAAACGAGTTAGGGGATTTTCACCGCGCCCCACGTTGTTAGGGCTATGGTAAAAACAACAGCAAACTGTTAAAATCTCTGACTCTAAACGAGTAAAGGAAGGCCCGTTACAAATCGTGCCTGAAAAGAAAACGATTTCAAAACCAAAACTTTGGAGCCCAGATAAAAGACTATCGCATCTATCGTTATTCGCTCTTACTCAAGCAGAAGCGTCTATTTTAAAATATTCGTATAAGGCCACCATTTTAGTCTTTTATATTTTTGTTTAGCCAGAAAAATAACAAAGGTCTCAACTATTTTAATAACATACCAGATCATCGGGCCATATTATACAACCAATTAATGTCTTTTGTTCTATCCATAAAGTACCAGAAGCATTTATGAGTCTCAAATACTTATTCAAATTTCAGGCAGTTTTAGCTAGATATCCCAGACATTAGCTCCTGTCCTTCATGGTTCCAGTAATGGTTCACTATGACGCCAGTCAGATCTCTAGCTTATACAGTATTGCGACACCTGGTATTACTGCTCTAGCTAGTCGGCTTGTATAGGATGAAACTTCTCGTACATTTGTCGCGCCTTCCTATAAATAAAAAGCTTTAACATAATCTAGGACTCGAACCCATTTTGCACCTTTACCATACATATATGCCTCATTAGGTCTTTTCATGAACACAAGTTCATGCAGCCAGCGATTATTAGGCAAAATTAAAACGACAATAAGTTGAAGTAAGCTCCACGACGGTCACTTGAAGATCAAGCGATTTTGAGTTATCTGAAAGCACGTAGATAACAGCTCGTTTCTTGGATATGTACATGTCGCTCAGAGGGTCGTGTTTCTGTTGCTATAAGCCTTTTAATAACACTGCCTAGGAAAACCTAACTGGCAAAATAAGTTAACAACATTTGTCTAAGGGGGTACGGTTTGAAGGTTTGACATCTAAATCAAAGCTTAATTTTATCTCAGCAAACCCAGTATCCGCGGGACGAGGAGATACGGTCATTAGCGAAAGAACATTTTGTACAGTTGCAGAGCTGGCCAATACGCTCATCCAAAAAAAGCTGCAGGTAGGAGCAGGTAACCGTTGTTGGCAACAGATCACGTATTTACGATTCCAATGAATATTTATTGTCTCGTCACACTGCCGGCTCATTAAAAATATATATAGCTATTTCTGCTGTGCACAAAAACTCCTTCTTCCATTTGACATTGCTGACTTGTGCCGGGATCAAACAGAGTATCATACATATCTCGCTGTATACTTACCATTAGATAATTTAAATTGGCTTCATTTTCAAGCTTACTGATCGTTTTCGACGACGGTTAACTGCCTCCCTACGCTTGTGCCCGAAGAATTGTATATACAGAACTTCTCCTATCGTGCCGTCCGTGCAGGATCTGTTAATAGTTATAGCTTAAAGACATATAATTATCTTAATCAAAATTCAATATAGTCTTATCTTTCTGGAGATCACAAACGATACTTTTGTTGCCTGAATAAGGCCTTCGGGGGATTCTTCTAAATTCTGGGGTTCTGGTTGGCGGTTCTGGCGTACTCACAGTGGTACGATGATCTATTTAAATTAGTCTCAGCCCATAACACTGTAGAAACGATCATCCATCTTTGAATGACTGTCTGTTTCGAAACTGAAATACATTGGTCGGAGGCCATGGAATTTTTGGCCTCATCCTCTCTGGCTGGCCTACTCGCTTTTACCACGGGCTGTCAAATGGATAAAACGAACGCACAGTATTATGCCGATCGATCTGTCTACATGACGGTATTATATTGCTAGTATACTGCCTCATTTCCGTACGCGTTGGAATATAGAAAACGAAAATAGATAATCAAGTCCCCAAATCTTTACACATATTAAAAATGTGTATTTTATGTTTTGTTTTAAAAAAAAATGTTATAGGCTGAAGTGTGAATATTAGACACTAATTATTCAAGATGGACAAATGATCTATATGAAACACTGGCAACGTGTCTAGCTAACGGGAGACTATTATAAGCAATTTTAACCTTGATATATATATATATATATATTACAGTTACATGTCGAGCCATGCGCTTATATTTACAGCATTTTATGGAAACGAGTACCCGTTAACGAAAGCAAGTCTTTTTGGGAATAGTGTGTAGCAAAAGACAACAAAAAACACGCCGTAAAGTACTCATATAGTTGGCTGGTTTGTCATTGTCTAATCTTTTGTATTCTGATTGTACGAAAATAAAGGTGAGGCGATCTGCTGAGGAAATACAGAGCAGGAGGTGGGTCTAGATTACAGACAGGAAAAAAGTCAACAAGGTTTACTTAAACAAAAAAATACTTCTTAACAGCTAACCTATCCTTTCCAATTGTCAACTTACTTATTTCTCTGTCATACATAACAATAATAGACCCGAAATGTAAGCTGTATCTTTTACAGTAAAATTGTATCTTTTACAGTGATACCGAAGCGGGCGAGCACGATGCTAACCAGATCCAGATCGATGTCAATGGGACAACTTTGGTAAGTTTTCCGTTTTAATCTGCATGCATTCTTTGGGAGGCGGTCTACTCTAACTGGAGACTAGATAGATACAAACATTAAGCGATAGATAAACGAGCGACTTGAAAATCGTACAACCTATTTAGGCATATTAGAGATAAAGAAACACACAGTGTAATTCTGGTTCGCAGATGAGAATAATTCTCTCAGACTTAACCCCATTTGCATCATAATGAACTTAACTTCTACGAAGTACAAGAGATTAAAGTTAGTTTCACGCATTCCCGTTATAATATTAATTATATAATATTAGTAAGATTAATCTTCATATATTTATGCCAACGGCGCGCACGTGACAATCCTCTAATCCTATAAATGACAACTTTTGCAAGGTATAATTTAAGATTGCTTCAAAAACTAGATGCTTTATGTAGAACGACGAACGGCGCCGCTTGTAGGGGGTACCCACTAATCCAATAGCACGAGAGGAACCTTTCGTTGAAAGCATCAGGCAAGGACTACAGATTAACTCAGGCATCCCTTTCTAATCACCGTAGTGGATTTTTCCTCGTCCTAAAGTGCATCTTCAGATTGCGTAGTTAGTTTACTCCCAGTTAGGTCTCTACTATCGCTCTACGATGATCAAATCATGTGATATGAGGGCGATGGGCTCGTTTTTCATAGCTGCCTAATATTTGATTTGGATGATGGACCCGACGTATGGGCAAGTCTTCGGTTCCACCGGGATAAAGAAATTCGAAGACGCGTGTTCGAGAAAGCGAGGTCATTTCCTCCGAGCTAAACTTTTTCGAAGTTAGCAATCATACTGCAGCAATGTCTTTATATTGGAAAGCTGGGGTGGCATACGTTTTGGCTAAGTAACCAGAGTGCGCGCGTCCGGTGATTTCAACAAACCCTAATGTCTCACCAATGTCTATACTTCTTGCGTGAATAACAAAAGATCATTTAGTGCCAGTACAACAAAGCATTCCTTCTGCCTCAAGCCAAGGTTTCCCAACTTGGCTTGAGTGATGCGTGATCCATGTAAGAATTTCGGTTGGTAGAAAGCGATCCTTGGAAGGTTGAAATATACGGTTCGAATAAAGTAGTACTTCGTAGTGTTTTGAAATCTGCGTTATAATTATATACAGTGTCTCAGTGTCTTGAACACACTACTATGGATTTGGATAGATTCCAGAATATTGCCTACTTAAATTGTGCAGATCTAATTTTGTGGCTGGCCTAATCGTCACCAAGACGAAACTTGCTCGTTTGTATAAATTATCTCAGTTTACCTACAGGAAGATGAAATCGCGTATGCGAGTATTGTCAACTGTAAAATTTTAGAGAGCTGGCTTATACTGAGATCATTTTACCTTCGTCCTTCTCGACTACTTTGCTATAAATGAACTGAGGCCTGAAACTATATAGACATGTAACAACCTGAGCTGTTTTATAAGTCCCTTGTGCAAATTAACCAGACGGAACCTTTTCTCGAATATGAAATCTTGAAAATTCACACCGGCGTTTATTGCCGTCAGCACTAAATAACATAAAATGTTATTATATCGCTTGCAAAGTGTATCTGTTGAGCTTTGTTACAACACAAATGAACTCTATTCTAATTCAGCTGAGGCTGTATCATGCACTGTCGTTTCAACTGCTAAAATAAATTTCAATATGTTCTTACTTTTGAGGGTTATCCATATCATAAGCAAATTAGCAACGACAACCGGCCTGATATAAGGCTCCTCCTGGCCTGCAGGACATCATGTACAGTTCGGGCACATCCAGGGTACGTCGTTTGTTTGGCACTCAGCATCGCTCAATGGAAATTGGTGCATTTTGCTTTCGGCACTAGCCCTGGTGCGTATTACATGCACAAAACAACGACAAAGCCAGAATCACGCGTCAGCCTCTCGCTGCCCAGAGGGATTTTAGTTATCTCTATTTCGAAATAAGGAAACACCACGAGAAATATTTCTACTGTACCTTAAAAAATGTTGAACTTTCCTGTTACAAAAGATACTGAAAACAGTATTAATTATAGTAACACAGTTATTCTACGTGTTTAGTACATTTCTTAACTTCGACAAAGGTCATGGTGTTGTATTCGAAATTGAACTTCCACTTAAATCGGATACGTTGTTCTTGCTTATCGTTTCATACCTTCTAAGAGTTTCAATGTCCGCGATGGTAAGGGGAATTTTCAGTATGAGTATTTACTACTACTACCCAGCCATCGCATACTTTTGGGGACGTACCGTACATTAAAGGTACTAATATGAGTTTGGTGCCGCATTTCTTTAGCTTGCTGGCAGTAAACCCTTAAACTAGTTAATTAGAATTGTCCTAAGGCGAACTACATCTAAATGTCAATATTGAGTCAATCGCGACTACTTTTATTATCTAATTATAATCGTCCAGTCCCAGAGTATACTCACGAACGATTAGTAACTTCCGAGTAATTCTTAATCAAGAGATATTTTAACACTGACATTGTGGCGTTGGCAAAATACTAAGCTGGTCTCTTTCAGGACCTATCTCTGATCATGTGCGTGTCTATGCGCTTCGTGTTACCTGTAAATTTATAAAAAAAAGAAGTCCTACAACCAGTAAGGCTCAGCTTCCTTTCATTCCAAAAATAGTTGACGGACATTAAGCATTTTTCCTCTCGAACAATTTCAATGTAAACTGTTGCGCTTTCCAATTTTCAAATACTGGCCTTTTTTCCTCGCTTGGTATTTGTCGCTTTTGCCTACTTTCGCATGTCAATCTGTCCAGCTATTTTCCTTCACGTTTATTTTAGTTCCCTTTTGATCGTCGCCCTTAACGGTCTAGAAACTTTCGGTCTGTTCAGCCTTCAAACTACGTTACAGTCTGTTGGTCGATTAACTGACAAATGGCAGAAGTGTAAACGAATGAAGAAGGCGTAACTGCTTAAAGAATGGTTTAACAGCAGTTACGATATTTCGCTGCTATCACAATTTACCATATAATTCTGCCCTTACTATCTTGTTTAGCCTCCTCGACTTCCATTTAGAACTCGGCCACGATCACAGCCCCTCGTTCGGAAAAAACATCAGGGAGTCAAAATCGCTCCCCCGTCGCCGTCCGATTCTGGGAGGAATAAGCGGCCGGGAAGTTAGCGCATGGTCAGCTTTTAAGCAGGACGTTCCCCCTCACGCTAGTTCACCGTAATGATTCACTGGTCAGCGTTTCTTCCTTCGGCAAACGCTGCACCACTATTGAAGTCGCAGCCATAGTACTCGTGATAATCCCATATTTGCCTTTAGCCGGGTATTTTAGCTGAACCGAGCTATAGGAACGGTGTGCATATATTGTTATCGAATCGTTTTAGATTTCTGTATGGAAAATTTTGTGTCACCGATAAAGATAAGGGCGAGCGGAGAACTTAACGAAAGTCCTCTACATTACAGCCTGCTGACCTCTTTGCAAAGGTACAGTCCTAGCAAAAAAAACTTGACACACTTCTCTATGCAGATGCACTGCAGTATGGAACCGTACGCAAACTACCAGGCGCACCAATTTCACCAAGGACACGCAGAATGAAACGGTTGATGAAGACAGTGAACACCTAGTTACCTCAATTAAGCGATTCCTTATAGGAGCTACGTTGTTAGTTCCATATCATGTTTCGCCCATATATCCTCGAGTTCGTGTGACCGTGTGAGCAGGCAATAGTAAATAGAGGCGCAAATGGCAGCATCTCGAAAACAACGCTATAGTAAAAGCACAATAGGTAACAATAGTCATAGTAGGAGTAAGTGTACCGGTGCCTTGAAAATTGTTGTCAGCTTCACGAACGGAGGCACGAAAAACCACTTCAAAGGTCGCGCAAGTGTTGCAGATTTAGGATGACGATTCTTAGCCTATTAAGGATAGGAAACCAGCCTGGTGGTTTTCATTGCCTAGTATAATTGTTCAGGTAGGCGTTTAGTGAGAAAAGGAAATTGCGCGCTCTAAAAATGGGTTTTACCCGTGCTAAATCTCGAATATATATATATATACATTGCTAAAAGAAATTCGAATGCTATAACATAGATTACCCCGACTCCGTTTATATTCAGACTTTGCAGTAACTATTCTGCCAGCGAGTTCTTCATAGTGTCGTTCAACTTTGGAAACAAGATGAATTCCTTTAACTAGTGTGTGACATGATGTCGGTTGTACAATTTGTTTTTCATTGCAAAGCCGCTAGACGCGAATCACATGATATATAACCGAGGTCTAGGCTTCTGCCTCGTACCCTGTATTGTTAGAATACTGCGGCTTCGGGAACACCGCTGCCTCCCGCCCCAGTCGCGTCATCTCCGGATACGTGCTCATTACACGCGCACGTTCTTGGCATTAATGAGGAGGTATCCATTTGCAAACAAAGCATTAAGATTTCCAGAGTTAGCGAGCCCTAGAAGCTGCAAACTGAGCAGCGTTACGCTAAGACATCCTTTATCAAGAGGAAAAGATACAGTTATGTAATCATATATTCCCTACCTAGTTCACTCGTAGAACGTCAACCCTCATATCAAAGCTATTATGTAAGTAAGTACTACAGTTATCGCATTTAGATGTAAATCAGCCGTTGATTACAGTGTGGATTTTGAAACCTGACGTTGTAAAGCGTGATCGTTAAAAATCATCAAAGCCCCAACATTATAACCACCACATCGACTAAATATACGAGTTGATTGGAGCCTTAGCATGAAAATTTAGAAAAAGATTTCCAACGTCATTTTTGAGGTGTTTTTTTCATAGCGTGGTAACAAGAAAATACCTTAAGTATTAGCCCCAGACTCCACGATTTATAATATTTGTCCGAGGGTATAAATCTCGCATACATTAAATCTATATTGAGGCTGGTGCCAGCATATTTGCTACTGTTCGATTGCAGTAAATTATTCATATGGGTGTTTCGTTCAAGTTTCGTTGGCATTTTCTAAAAACATGACCGTATGCTTCGTCAATCTGTTTGTATTTGTTGGGGAAAATCTTTTGCAACC